GTCAGTATGGGATAGGCGCCGTGTTGCAGCAAGATGACGGCAATGGCTATAGACCCGTAGAGTTCATGTCCGCGAGGATGCCCTGTGAGAAGGTCGCTACCTCCACGTACGAGAGAGAACTCTACGCTCTCAGGCAGGCTTTAGACCATTGGAAGCACTACCTGCTTGGGAGGCACTTCAAAGTATATTCGGACCACGAAACACTTAGATGGTTAAAGACTCAGGCCAAGATGACACCTAAGTTGACTAGGTGGGCCGCAGAGATAGACCAATTCGACTTTGAGCTCAAGCCAGTGAAGGGCAAGTACAATGTAGTTGCGGATGCTCAATGTAGGAGATCAGACTACTTTGGAGCTGTAGTACACTATCTGGATATAGGGAGAGACCTGCAGGAGAAGGTGAGGCAAGCATATGCGCAGGACCCTATCTATAGYGACCTCCTAAAAAGAGTTAGAGAGGCCCAAGAGACTGAACCAGATTACCGCACTACAGACGGATTGTTGTTTGAGAAGACTAATGTGCTTGACCGCGTGTGCGTTCCCAACAGCAAAGAGATCCGCAGTTTGGTTTTAGGGGAATGCCACGATACTGAAGGGCATTTCGGTTGGCAAAAGACATTAGCCAACCTGATGCGTGCGTATACCTGGCCAGGAATGAAGAATGACTGCATAGARTATGTCCGCAGTTGTAAAGTGTGCCAGAGAAATAAGTCTACTACACGCGCGCCCTTAGGTCTTCTCAGGCCCTTGCCTATTCCGGATCAGCCGGGAGACTCGGTGTCTATAGACTTCATGGACACGCAAGTCAAAAGTAGACATGGTAAGAGCCAAGTCATGGTCATAGTCGACCGTTTTAGTAAGTATGCAGTTTTTGTTCCTTTGCCGGCAAAGGCATGTTCAGATTTAGTAATACAGAAGTTCTTTGACTTTTGGGTTAGTGAGAATGGTATCCCATTGTCAATAGTTAGTGATAGAGATAGTCGTTTCACCAGCCAGAACTGGCAAGAACTCATGAGAGTCTACGGATCTAAGTTGTTAACGTCGTCCGGCCGTCACCCAGAGACTAACGGTCAGACAAAACAAATGAACATGATCCTACAGCAAGTTCTGCGCATGTACATTAGACCAGATCAGATCAACTGGGATGAGATGTTGCCCAAGGTCGCCAGTGCATACAACAACAGCGTGCACCTATCCACCTGCTGCACTCCCAATGAACTGCAGAAGTCCTTTAGACCACGCAGACCGTTCGAAGGACTGAACCGGGATCAGATTCACAGATCACCGCCCGGTACCAGGGAATTTGCGCGATACAGCACGAAAAGGAATTAACCACTGTTGTTGAGAACCTACGGAAGGCCCAGCACAGAATGATAGAGCAGGCTAACAAACACCGTCGCCCATCACAGTTTCAAGTAGGCGACTTAGTCTGGGTCAAGGCAAAGGAGTTTGCACCGGAAGAAAACATCTCGCAGAAGTTACTGCCTGCATATAGAGGACCGTGGCCGGTTCTAGAAGTCAAGGGCGGAGAGGATGGACCGTCCTATAGCGTTGAGATTCCAGCACACCTCCACACATACCCTGTGTTTCATGCTTCAAAGCTGCTGCCGTGTATCACTAGTCAACAGTTCCCTTCCAGGAGACCCATGATTCCACCGGATATGGATGGAACCTATGACATAGAGGGCATTGTAGAAGAGGATGTGTTTAGGACAGGAGGTAGAGGTCGTCCCCAGAAACAGTATAGGGTCCGGTTTGCTTATCAGGAACCGGAAGACGACCGCTGGTTCACGAAAGCAGAACTTCTAGAGACCGCTCCCGACATAGTCAGGGCCTATGAGCGTGACAAGAAAGGCAAAGGTCCTGCCTTGGACTAAAATTTTCTCGGAGGACCTCGAATTTAGGACGGCGGGAGTGAAACGGCTTTCACCTTTTTAGCAGTAACGGATGCAGTACCCAGGGTTCGATCCCTAGACCTCACCCTACCCATGTACAGTATCTATGTAGACCCCGAGAATTGAACCTGCGACCTGTGTATTCGCAGATAGTTGACTGTTGTCTGTTGTAGGTCTGTAGGTCTGTGTAGCCGTAGGGGTTCGATCTGTAGGTCTGTCGAGTAGGGGTCATAGTTGTGTAGAGGCCGTAGCTGTAGCRATTCTGAAAGGTCAAGGTCGTAGCTGCTACAGTCCCGAAAGGGCAAGTCCACAGACTTCCGGAAGGTCCGGAAGTGGCCTTTCAAATTTTTCTCACGTTCCTCACAGCAGACCAGAGGCAAGTGGGCAAGTGGTGAGTCCAACTTTGCTTAGTCAGCGGTACCCAGTCTCAGTCTCACTTTGTCCAGTCMGCAAGTACCAYGTGGGACTGTGTGCACCGTGGGCCCSGTGGAAAAAGGGCAGACCAACGACTTACAGAAGTATAAATCAAGAGGCAGCGTCCAGCCATGCATGCATTCCTGYGTGAGCCATGCGGAAGCGCTGCCACAGCGACTTGTGCAAGGAGGTCTGCAGATGAGCCCGGAGGACGCAGTGGGCTAGAGAGAGGAAGTTAGCGTAGCGATARGGTAGATGCAGCGACAGCTGCCATAGCTGTAGTTAGTAGTGAGTGTGTGTGTGTGTTCGAGTGTTARAGTGATGCGTGTGGGATATCCAGGGTGATMCAGTGTATGTGAACAGTGAGATGTTTGGGCGCTGAAGTCGCCATAGCCAATTAAGAGTGAACTCGTATCTGAAAGCCATATCTCTGAGTTTTGAGTGGGCGCATGTCGCCAGTATGCTGCGTTGCTGTTTACATGCATGAAAAGTGTGTTTGAAAACGAGTCTGAATGCA